AACTGAAGGATGAGCAGTGCGAGATCCCGATCGTGTGCCCACCTAATTGGCAAACCTGAAAACTTCAGATCTCTGTAGCAAACCATCTGAAGTCCGATCTCTTAAGTTGAAGAGAGAGAATGCACCTGATAGAACAACAAGGTCCTTCACGCTCAATCCTTTGGAAGCAAACATTGAGATCAGCGTAGTGATGTTGGCGGTGGGTGGTGGCAGCTGTTTGGTCTCGTTGGCCATGGACACAAAGCCATCCCTTCGGCCAGTCGGCACAGGCCAATAGGGTCCTTTGCTCTGAGGAAAGAAGGCCATCAGCTAAACAAATCCCTTGAGGTTTACCGTATATCGGTTATAGAAAAGGATGCAGGTTATCGTACCAAAACCACCACATCCCTGGCGATCAAAGCTAGGATATCAGCGCAGGAGACGATCCCGGGGCAAGCTTTCTCCAGTTTAGCCTTCACTCTGTCAATGACACCATAGCCTCTGAGTGAGAGGTTGGGATGTGCGTCCTTCTCAGCTACATTTCCCTTCGTGGAGTTCAACAAGACTGACCCATCACATCCCTGCATGCTGAAAAGTTTAGGCAAAACACATTTTCGATGTTTCGATGATAGCTCAAAGTTGACATTACCCTTACGAAACAATCATGGAAGTGCATCCTCAGGAGAGGACCAGCAAGGCTTGGTGCGACTCTGATGACTTTGGCCATCTCCTCGAACACGATAGCTTCGGCATTAGGACACGTCTTGCTGTAGTAACCAAGACTCAAGCCCTGTTCCTCTGCTGACCCTGTGAGTAGAAGGGAGAGGGCCATAGAGGCCAAGAGCATCGAGAGAGTCTTAGAGGCCATCTCAGAAATCAAAGATGTGTTGGCTCTGTGATGCTGAAGCTACTAGGGACTTGGAGCACTTATATAGAGTGAGCCTCATGAGTGCGACAGCTCGCCTCTGCATGGCCACTTCTTTGCTTCTTACTTCATTACTCTACATCTTTCGTTCTTATGATTGGGAATCTTCCAGTTAGATATATCAAGTGGCGTGTAGCGAGTATAGTGAGCAAGGTTCCATGACATTTGTGGAAGGATCGAGGGATGCAAAAGCTAGCTACAGCTTTGGTGATGCTATGATCTAATTTTTTGGCTTTTCATGTTCATTACTATCTGTATGGCTCTTAAGATAATCATGCTACTCATCAGGCAAAATTGACACAAATGAAAAAGATAAAAAAAAATAAATTTTCCCCCTGAACCACGGCTACAGTCCTCGGTCCTCAACCGCATGGGATTCTGCATTCTCCTTGCGCAAGGATGATGAGAGACAAAGGACATCAACTGAAGAGCTACTGATCTACCCACACAGTCACATGGAGCTTTTCCTGCACCCTCAAGAACGAGTTGTCTGGACGAACTGGAGGTGTTGTCGATTAACGTAAGCCATCGCATAACTCGGCTGATTTATTTTATTTCAGAAGAAAAAGAAAAAGGAAAAAGAAAGGGAAAAGAGTTCCTCTCAAACTCTCTCTCTCCAAAAAAGAAAGAAGAATCACGTTCTTCTGTGGATTTCTGAGCCACCTGCCCATATGGTTCCGCTTTGCTTCGGTGGTTTTGCCTACGCACAACACTCGCTGTTGCTTTTCTTCCTTACAATTCAGTGTGTCGTGTGGTGTACATGGTTGGTCCTCAACCTGCAGCCACGACGGTGCAAGAAGAAGAAGAAGAAGAAGAAGATAACGAGAGGGAAAAGGACGAAATTATTTTTAAAAAATAATAAAAAAATATTTTTAATTTTTTAAATAATTTTTAAAAAAATGAGATTAAATGTTTCACTTTGATAATTAATAAGAATCCTAATACTATTTTTTAAACCAACAGGATACTAATCATAATTAACTATATGACATAATCTATGATTAATCTACTTATCAACTTAAAGATGATAGTACAGGCTGAGCAATATATGATTTCTCTGTCTTGCTTGACTAGGTTTTTCTTGCTCTCTCAAAATGCCTAGTAAAGTAGTTAAAACGTTGTTGAATTTGTGTTGGCCATTAACTCCTAACATTCATTTTAAACACCGAGTCAAGCAAATCACAGTTGCTTATGATCTCCCCCCCTGCATTGTCTGTGAGGAGGACCCCAACCTTTCCCATCTTGATCATTGATGTGACCCACTGATGTTGAATTTGTGTTACTACTTAATGGCTAGTAAAGTAGTTATCTAAGAATTGAAGAAAGATCGTTGAATTTGTGTTGCTGCAGCCATTAACTCCTCACGTCCATTGCGAACACCGAGTCAAAACAGGTTTAAAGGTGAAAAAAGGTGTGATGTATGGTCTCTGATTGATTTAGTAATAGATGGGAGATAGAGATTGAGAGAAACTGGGAAGAACGAGTGATGGATAAAGCTGTTGGATTTGTTTCCCGCTATCTTGTTTTGAATCCGTCAGCGTTGGTTAATGTCCTGTTGACTCGGCTACGTTCTTGTTTGCGGTCGTCGACATGAATGGCTAGAAAAATTCATATTATTATAATCATGAAAGTAAATATTTAATTTTATTTTATCTTAATATCATTGGTTTTTGTGGAATTATTAATTTTACTAATGATAAAATAATTATTTTAAATATTAATTAAAAGGTGATCGAAAAGGATCATTGGCTTAGGTAGTCATACAATTAGTTGCTTTCCCAAATCAATCTCTTAGGATCATTGGCTTAGGTAGTCATACAATTCCATCTTTTATGATTTAGGACAAAGCTCCTCATAATATTAAGTCAAGTCATACAAAAATTGGTTGGTGAACTTAGAAATTCCTTTGGAACAACATAAAATCTGAACTTATTTGAGGAGAGGATTAGATTTTGGGTTTGAAACCATGACTCTAATAGTGGTCTTTGGTTTGTTGCAAACGATGATAATTCATAATTATATATTTTTTAGTTATAGGTATATGGCTGAAAAGAATAGTCTCTATTGAGATTATTATTATTATTATTATTATTATTATTATTATTATTATTATTATTATTATTATTATTATTATTATTACACCAAGCATACAGAGTTGTACATTAAAACTGATTCAATAATCATTGTGAATGATGTGCTACGAGATATTCTCTCACCATGGACCATTTTTGACCCTGATAAGAAAGATTAAAGAGTTGATCCCTTGTTTTGATGACTATAAATTCTCTCATATTTTTTTTATTTTTAGGGAGGGAAACAAATGTAGCTAATTGGTTGGCAACATATGCACATACAACTAAATCTTGTAACCTTCGGACCAAAGGTGGACTTTCGGAGCTTTATTTTTTGGTTGACTGAGATGCAAACAAGCGTGTACTTCGCCGTTATAGTTACTAAAGTTTTAGTTAACTTATGCATGATTTGGACGGGACCTGTTAAAGCGATTTTTGTATTTATTATTGTAAATTTATATGTATAACTAACTTGACTTTGCTGCTGCTTTTAGGATCATTAGATTGCTAGTGCTGGTCGAATCGGATGTTGGGTTGTGTTGGATGGATTGATTTCGCTTAGGCGAACTTAATTGCACAAGGAAATAAATATAGTGGTTTATTTTCCCAGGGTGCCAATAGTCTAGTCTTGTAAGGTCGTCTAAATGCTACCTGCTTCAGCAGATGTATCCAGTTAAAATGATGCAGGCCTTCTATTTATTTATTAACTATCACAGAAGCTGGACTGGGCTCGGAGAAGGTCGAATTATAATGCAGGATAAGATCAGTTCATGGATTTCGCCTCAGCATAAAAGGATTTTGATTTTGGAATTCGGCATCTTGATAAAGGAAGAAGAATTATAAGGAATGATGCCAGTTAGATCCACTAATTTACTTGACTAAACCCCTTGTTTTATTTTATATAAATATAATTAATTACGAGTAGGCACTGATACGCTCAATCGTACAATGATTAGTACTGCCACCTCTTACAACTAAAACATTCAAGAACTTACTAGTTAATTAACGCACAGTTCCTAATGATCTCCCCTGCATTGGCCGTGAGGACCGCAACCTTTCCCAACTTGATCGTTGACTCGCCAAGGTCAGAGAAGAAGCTAGATTCGGACAAATGAAGCCGAGAAAAAACGGAGCCTCTGGTCTCCTTGTCCTGGAGAAGAGCCTCATCAGAATGGAACAGTCCCTTTCCCTTGGCCACCAAATCGTAGTCAAACGATGTCGAGCTTCCCGGGACTACCGTGTTGTTGTCACCCGGATGACATTTGCTTCCTAATGTGATTACATGGTTTAGATTTTCTGTTTCTTAATTTGATTTATTTAAAATTTATTATTATATAAATAAAGGATAATTAAAACTTAAATAAATTGACTAGTATGTACAATAATTAACATTAAAGTGAAAAGAGTCTTATGATATTCTCGTTACTATTCGAGGAGTGGATAATAAAAAAAATTAGAGTATAATTTATAAAAAAAATCAATTGAGTTTATAAAGGTTATACAAACTCATAAAAAAAAAATCTTTATAGGAAAACACTATTTCTATGACAAGAAAGGCTAATGACTATAATATTTATTTTGAAAGGAAAAGATATAAGTTGAACCTTATATGTTCAAATAAAATATTATAAAAATATTTTCTAATATTTACTAGATTGTACTTAGTGCTTCATCTCATATTATTAATAATAGATAAGATTTCATTTTAACTCAAAAAGGCCAAAGCAACATGAAAATAGGGAATCGTCTTAAGCTATAATTTTAACTTACGTTTAAGGATGACTTGAATTTTAAGACTACATGTTATATTTATATAATTTCAAAAAATTAGTTTCTTTATCTAGAATTATTCTTTTAGTGATCATAAACTCAATATATTTATGATTCAATAAAAGTTGATTTTGTATGATGATTTGTACGTAACAAAATGTTTGATACGTAAATAAATGAACTACCAGTTTGTACGTAACAAAATGGTTTGTACGTAAACCAGTTTGTACGTAACAAAATGGTTTGTACGTAACAAACTATAGTAAAATGTTTGATACGTAACAAAAATTCATGAACTAATATTAATCATTTCATGTTCTCTATTATATGAAG